CATCACCACATCGGCGTCCGTCAAAATGCTAGGCTCCCCCTCAAAATTGATTTTCGGGTCAGGCCATTTCCTTACTGGCCTACTCCAGTGAGGAACTTCAATATCGGCCGCATTTTCCTCCATAACACAATCGTCGTCCTCATTGTTCGGCCGAATATCAAGATGCCTTACCAACATTGGATCCCACCGATGGTACTCAAAAGCTAATTCGACTAATACCGAGTCATGTAACACTTCCAACGGAACCGACTCGGTACTAGAAGAACTAGCAACTGCCTTACCTTTTCCTTTCTGTGCCATCAAACAAGTAGAATACAGGACAAAGACAAAAAATAAAAATCGACAATGAAGCTTACCGAGAAATGAATGAGCGGACACTCGCGCACCTAGAACGAGTTTCAAATTTGCAGAAGAGTTTCGATAACAGTACGTAAAGATTTGAAGATGAATGTGAAAGTGAAGAAAGTCCGATTACATATTGCAAAACCCTACTTATAATCCCTGATTTCTGACCGTTGAAGACCTTAATTAGGGGCGCGTGCAACCGACGCGACCCCTAATTCCAAGCGGTGCCATCCCTTCATCTGACGAAAGCTCACTGTACACATGGCACCCTATTAAAATCGACCGTTATCTCATTTAAAGCTATTACGGCGCGACCCTTCGCACTATGCATTTAATTGCCAGTCGTTACATCTTTTCAGACACCTCTCATCGCTACACAGATTTAACACGAATTTTTTCAAAGTGTTCCCACCTCGGAAACCAGCTCTCACTTCGAAACATGCAACCCACTTCGGTCACCTCTCGTACATAAGTGCGCTGAAAACGAGTTTCTCTAACCTCCACCTTGTTACCGAGCTGGGACTTCTAGCTACTTTGCAACACCGACGACCATCACCCCGTATGCCCGCCGATGTTGGGGGCCCATCTGTTATCATCCCAACTCGGTAACCCAAAGTTAGTTTAAATTGCGTGTTAAGTGAATTAGCGCCCACAATAAATACGACCGAATATCACTCCGGTCCGCATACTAAACCGACCAAGCCATAAAAACCGAGGTGGTCCTCACAACCGAGGTCATTCCGAACCGAGGTCGCCACCTCCTAAGCAGGTGACGAAGCACCTACACGCCATTCTCACAAACTACGAGATCTGCTATTATTCAAGTGGGACCCACTGATCCTGCCGCCCACCAAAAAGTAGCTTTACAGAAAAAGCAATGCACGAATCCCGATATGTATCTCAAAAAGTTGCTATAAATAGCAAGTTCATAACACTTGTACGGGATTTGATTCTGGACCCGAACTTCTTAATAATGAAACACGAAACAGCTCACAGAAGCTTTTCACCTCGGTTCACCTCGGACCGGGGCCATTGTTGAGTCTTTCATACATACTTTACATTCGAATCACCAATAATCATTACATAAATCCACCATTAAATCGTTGTTAACAATCGTATAACAACACAGGACACCCCTTGATCTTAGCATAAATCTGGTAGCCAATAAAGATCAACCAGTGGCTCAGTTGGAATATTCACGGGTAATAGGGAGTCTGATGTACTTAACGAATTGTACACGACCAAACTTGGCGTATCCGGTGAATAAGTTGAGCAGATTTACGAGCAATCCCAGTCATGAGCACTGGAATGCTTTGATAAGGGTACTTAAGTACTTGAAGTACACCCCTGAATACGGGCTAAAATACTCGAGACATCCAGTTATACTTGAAGGGTACTGTGATGCAAGCTGGATATCAGATTAGAGAGATTCTCGCTCCACTAGCGGATATGTTTTTTCTATTGGAGGAGGTGCAGTTTCGTGGAAATCCCCAAAACAAACGTGTATAGCTCGGTCAACTATGGAATCGGAGTTCATCGCTTTAGATAAAGCTGGTGAAAAAGCCGAGTGGCTTAGAAACTTTTTAGCCGATATTCCATGTTGGAATAAGCCTTTGTCGCCTGTGATGATTGACTGTGATAGCCAAGTTGCTATAGGAAGGGCGCAAAGCAACATGTATAATGGTACGTCTAGACACATTCGTCGCAGACATAATACCGTTCGCCAATTGATCATAAATGGTATTATTTCTATTGACTACGTGAAGTCTAAGGAAAATTTGGCAGATCCTTTGGCGAAAGGATTGAATAGAGATCAATTGGGAAGATTGCTAGAGGGAATGGGCTTAAAAATCTACAATATAAGGAATGATCATAGTGGTAACCTTACCATGCTGAGAGGAGATCCCACGAACTTGGTTCAAAGGAAAAACTTAGCTATGAAAATTCAGCTGAGCACTTGGAACATAAGAATATCCAAAGTTATTCCCTATAGCACTTCAAGTGCAGGATGACCTGTTGATTGTGGTAAGGGTTAGTCATTTGGACTTTTAATGAATCTCTGACCTTGTAAAGGTGGAGTAATACAGGATACTTTTGATAGGAAAGTCACTCATATAAGTGTGAAGTGTGGGCAACTTCAAATGTAAACACTTATGAATCCAAAGTGTTGTCCATGACCAAAACGGACATAACTATAGAACGGGATGGAGTTAAAACTCTATTGTGTGAATGTCATTGTCTCGGTGTACATTATGGAAGAATAGTTCAATGCATTATGTCTATTAGGCCGCTAGTGCATCTGATGATGTTTATTAAGAGAGGTTCAAAGTCACAAGCTACCTTTTCTAATGCAATAGAGTTTTGTGAGGATTGGGCACACTAGTCTATATATATTTAATGAAACTCATGTGGGGGATTGTAACAAAATAATTAAGTTTAATTAAATGTGGGTCCAATCATTATAATTTATTAAAGCAAATTGACAATTTTTTGCAGCTCAATTCGCATGAAGGAATCTCTGCCATTGGCCACATGACACCTTGTGTTAATAATGTTTGATGTAATAATTTAGTATGTAGGCATTAATTACAAGGCATTATTTGCTCACTCTCCTCTATAAATACTGTTCCTTTTGCTGATAAAACGTACACTGCAAAGAACAGAGAAAAAGAGAGGAAATAAAGAGAAAGAGAAAGAAAAAAAAAAGAAAGATATATATCCAAATATCGGATATGAACATATCAAAAGAGAAGAAACAAGTGATATTTTTATTTGTTTTAGTCCTTTATTTTAATTGCTCAATTCTCGACTTTGTTCCAGTTCGCCGGAATTCATAATTTGGGGTGCTAAAGATTAAGAGACGTTTGTCGTTGTATCTTTAGGGAAGTTACGCCTGAATCGTTAGCTGCCACACGGGGCGTATTCTTCTTGCGGAAAGATAAGAGTTTTACTAGCCTCGACTAAAATCTTTCCGTTTTTTCAGTTGTAATTTATTTTCAGTTCTATTTGTAATTTTCTATTTTTAGATTATTTGTAATAACTGAAAAAATACATATCAGTTCGTAGGATTCCCGTGTAATTTTACACCCAATAACTAACAAGTATAATATTAAATAAATTGTTAAACTTGTAAATTAAGATGAGTCGACCCCTCAAGAAGATTGCGAGCATTCATTCGCTCATCTGCATTCGAGGTGGAGATTTTGTACTATGTTTTTAATCATGTTAATAACTTTATATAATTTATGTGACTTGTTACGTGAACACTGCCTCCCTTTAGGAAGCGAGATCGCCTTTTTTGGGTATGACATCGTCCTTCAGGGAGGGTGCAGATATGAGACACTACTTGTGGCAGGGTGTGCAGTACTCTTATTATCGTTGGAGCGTACCGATCGAGCAACATCTCGCTAAACTGACAGAGGAACATCTCGTAAAACTAATTGACCAGCATCTCGTAAAACTGATCGAGCAACAACTCGTAAACTTTGATACCAAGTCCAGTAGCAGAGTACAATATCTGAGCACAGCTAAGCCCCTTCGAGAAATGAATTGGCGGTAAATTACCATTGTCTTTGGACTTTGGAGCAGACCTGCAAAAAAACAATTGACGAAAATGAATTGACAATTGATTACTGACTTTCAAGCTAAGACGCCTTCGGGCAAATGTACCAACTTTCGAACTGTATCGCCTTGGGAAATGAATTGACGATAGGCAATGAATTGTTCAGTAACAAGACGTCAAACTCTTAAGCGTGTCCACCCCTTATCAAGAATAGTGGACATATTTATACCTTATACTAGTTGAGGAAGAAATTATTATACATGAGATACTATGTGGTCGTTGTCATTTCCTTAGTCCGTAGCAACTTGATTAACTAGCGATTTACTGACCTTTTTTTTTCCTCAAGTGATATCATTTTATAAAACTAAAAAGAGAAAAAACCAAAGATATTGAGGACCTTAAATCTAAAGCTCCAAGATCTGAGAACTTCAGTCCAAACTCGA